AAAAATAAATTTTAATATGTAAACGATTTATAATAATATGTAACCTTAAAGTGAGACATCGCGTTGAGTGTAAGTTAACTGTAAATCCATGCCACGAATACTTACTATGGTGGATTTATTTTATATTTTACATCCAGTTAGAATTATCAGAATTATTCATTTGTACGATTTTATGAGTCTGTTTACAGAACACTAGAAATTCGCCACAGGCGGTGAATGTGTTAAATTTTAATTACTTTTGCTCTTTGGTTTCTATAAGTTGGCGACACGTTTAATTCATACCCATAGAATTTGTAATAAAATTTGATACTATTCGATATAATCATTCGAATAATAAAATATACGACTGAATTACCTAACTATTTAATAGAATAGATGTAGTATTATTTAATTTACTTACTGCTCTAACTTGACAGTTTAATACGAGAATACCTATACTCACACACTTATTATATTTTACCTATCACCTTAAACAACTTAAAAAAAATTAATGAAAGAGTATAAGAATGAGTATATAGGTACTTAACTGAATTTGTTCTAAATTAAATATTGATGTAACATAACAATGTATCTATAACATTAAGAAAGGTGGGCAAAAAGGGTGTCGTTCTGCTGTACAGTAGGTTACAAGAGGGGTCACTGTAATGGATGGTGTTACATTTTTATTCAATGATATAATATCATTGTATACGAAAAACGATACTGAGCCAAGACGGTCAGTCAACATATGATATTATTAAGTATATATCTGATGACATTATTGTAAATAAAGTAATTTATTTACCTATTTACGTTTAACCTTGTTTTAATTTTTCAATCCTAAGCTATAAAGATTGAACATTTTATAAATTTTTAACTACATAATAATTTTTATATTATAAATATGATACATTTTGTCAACATTTAAACTTTAAGTGCTTGTAAAAAAAATTGTGCTTATGTACTTATTTTTAATATTTTTCACCGCTATAGTAATAATATATGATATATCATAACTAATTCATGAGCATTGTATTAAATGACCCAACACACTAAATTTTATTGACATAGAGAAAAATTTTTATGAATTTCTAACTCAACATAATTCGCACATTTTCGTTATTTTTAGGCCTTTTGGAAAAATTCGAACTTTAAATGCTTATAAAAAAAATTGTGACTAGATATATTGTATATTTAATATTTTTCAACTGTCATTGTAACAATATTATATCAGAAGCTTTGTATTCAATTTTCAACCTCTTTGACAAAACGAATTAAATGAATTGACATATTATTTTATAGAAAGTTTTATGGTGTATAGAAAATGCCAATATATGTAGATACATTTATCTACGGTCATTTGTTTCCGAGTTACACCAAAAACCAAAATCCGAAAACCGATATTGAGTAAAATTCCCGTTTTTCTTTAATTTTTTTTCCCCTGCGCTTTTTAAAAGTACAGGGAATTTTAAATGTTGCCTCACCAAGGCATCAAATAGATTCACTAATCACTTTCTCATCGAACAAGATACTGAAGTTGAAAATCAAAAGTAAAAAAAAAAAAACATACACCATAAATTAATACATTCATTGCTATCCATTCAGAATCTAAAATATATATGTACAATAATGTTAATAGGTTGTCTATTATCCTTTATTTTAGTTTATTTTTAGATTCTGAGCGGAGCAAGGAAGCTAGTGGTTTTACAATGGTGTTTATTTTTATTTTTTTTATTTTTTTTTTTATATCCTGTATACAAAATTTCTACCAGAAGGAGTGCTTTGATTTCAACATATAGTACCTTATCTTTTAGCAAATTGGACCAAGATGGTACTTTAGAGAGGTCATTTTTCGATTTTCTCAATAGTTATTTAATGCCACGGGAAAAAGTACTGAAAAATTACGAAAAACCGCTTAAAATGGGATTTTAATTTCTAACAATTTGTTTATCACCGTAGCAACGAATAAAAAAAATAATAATTAAATAAATAAAATAATTAATGACAATATGAAATATACAGACTGACAAACCGTCTCCGTTCAGAAACGTTTTTCTTATACAATGATATTATATCATTGAATTCAAGTTTAATACAATCCATTAAACAATGACCAACTTGTAACCTACTGTACAGCTGAGCGACATCCACTTACCTGCCTTTTTTTAATAATGAGTTTAATTAATTTTTAACAACACTATAGCAGTACTTATAATATAATTATAAATAATTATTTTAATTGAATTATAGGTACTTAATAGATATGTTCTATAGAATACATTTGCGTTTAAAGTTTAAACCATGTTGTGTGGAGTGCGTTACTAAGTGAATAAAATATGTGTGGGTGCAACTCAAATTTTCTTATCTCACTGGCTAAAAAGTTCTTGCCGACACTGGACTGGGTAGTATAGGTTTATCACGTAGTATAGGTTTTATGCTTGCAACGTGTTATGTATTTTCGGTGACCATCGGTGGATTTAATAATATAATTTATTTAAATAAAGGCATTCTCACCCATGCAGCACGCGCTGAAGTTATTTCATAGTATATTTCATAATATATGAATATTCATTAATTTAGAATTTAGATACCTATAGTTAACTTAATAATAATATCGTTTCGAATGAATGACAGTCGCGGGTGTCATGGCAGTATTCACGTTTGCCTATGTTATTATAACTACATAACTTATTAATGTATACAGCCTGCAGTATTGTCGGTTGTATTATATGTTTCGATCCTTTCTCCCCTGAAAAACATCTTAAGCTCGTCCTTGGACCTTTACCCTCCATCACGGAAGGGATAATCCACACGGACGGCACCACATCCTCCTATAGACGGTCGCGCGTAATATTATTTCGTCTACGTCCTTCCCGGAAACACGTGAAACGATCCCATTTGTCATGTGCATGACTTTCCTCCCCCGCACCTAAGCCTTTACGTCGTATAATAAATATCAGAAAATCAGCAACATATATAGTCCGCTTTTGAGATGACTATAGAACGGAGGACACAAACACAAAATATGAACCATACATCGCTATATATTATTAGGTATAGGTATATCGGTATGCATGAGTCTATGTATAGAGCATAATATTTCATATTATAATATAGGATCTTAATATTTAATAATTTATGCAATAGGTACTTATAACTTTAGTCCATATTCGGTACATATAATATGCCTAGTTTTGGTGGGTAATTTTAATTAATAAAAATGGGTTACGAATTTTTGAAGAGAATATAGGAAAGCGCAATAATAAATATATTGTATACTATATATGTATGTGCCTGCTATTATAATAGGCCAAAGGTAGGCAATTAATGAAAATAATTAACTCAAGTTAAGTTAAGCTAAGAGGATTCAAGATCGATAAGTTAAAAGTTAACAAATTATAGATTTAACTCGATAAGTTAAAAGCTAATATGGAAAAAAAATACTAACTTAACTTAGTTTAAAAAAAGTTTTCTTATCTATTTTTTTTTTTAAATTAGTAGGTAAATCAGATAAACAGTGAATGTGTCTTTCTAGTTTCTAATTTATAAATTATAAAAAACAATTTTATTGAAATTTTATCATAATGTACACTGTATACCATTTTATTTATAATTTACTATTATTTACTAATTTAAACTATAGGTACTCATCTCAAATAAATAATTTAACAAATATATTTTTTCATATCGTTTAGCAATTGAATTGCATAAATCATAATACGTGATGATGAGTACATGACCTTCATATAAGTTATGTAACATTAAAACATAACAATTGTCAATTTGTAATTTAAAATTATTAATTTTATTAAAAATATTTATAATTGTGACTCGCATAATATATAATTTAAAACTTAATAAAATATATTAATATACACAAAATTATGTTATCAAGAAAAAGAACAGAAATGTTTGTGTTTTTGTATTGTATTATTTTTATTTTATACTGATATAGTAATATTTAAGTATAAAAGAAAAATTTCAAAATGTTTTAAGCTTGATGGATTTTTTTTAAAATCAACTGAGAAAAGCTAAGTTATTTCAACTGCAAATTAAATTATTTAAGTTCATAAGTTGATTAGAAAATAAACTAACTAGTTAAGTTAAAAAGTTAAAAAACAATTAACTTTTTAACTTAACTTTAACTTTTTTAACTATAGTTAATGCCCACCTTTGAAATAGCCTATATATTATGTTTAACTTCATGAAATCATATTATAATATAACTATAACCATATTATAATAGCTTAATTTATAATTGTATTTCGTATTTTGATGGATTCGTAGCATTTATATTATAGCAAAATATAGCAGAGTAGAATACCAGTTGATTAGTTCATTAAGCTCGGTTTTCCAAATAGATTTAATTAAAGTATGCGTACTGGCATGGTGGCAAGTATAATATATTATATATATACCTGCGTTTCGGTTTAATAACACTAGGCAAGTTTCCAAGAAATAAACATTCTATGGTATTGTTTAGCCGTGATAGCCAGTTTAAATAAACATGGTTGTATCCTAACTATTTCACTGGTAATTAATAAATAATTAATAACTAAAGGTAATGTAAAATATATAAAATAGAACAAACAATATTTCACTAGTGGACTGTATAAATTTATTACATATAAGTAGGAAAATATGATATACACGAGGGTACCTTAAATGATATGTTAGTCCTACCAATAATAATACAAATAATAATTGATCGATAAATCATAAGCGTGAGTGTGATAATAATAATATCATAAACGTAAGCACACGGTGTTTATCAACAACCGCTACAATACGATGCAAATGATAACACGATATAAAATGATAATATAAAACAAATGATAATACGGAGTGATACGTCTGACCTGGTCGATGATCGGCTTCCCCATACGACGTGTCGACGAATACGATGTCCTCCAATCAGGTATACACACGGCGGTTTATGATTCACGCCATAAGGAACCAAAACACTATGATAGTTGACCAAGCGTATGTCACGTAATGCGCGTATAACAGCTGCCAGCTAGTTAACGTGAATATTCAACCAATGTGCGCAACAGCCAGGAACGACGACAACACAAAACGTGCGCAACCGCCAGTAACGGCGACGACACAAACACGTGCGCAACAGCCAGTAACGGCGACAACACAAATACGATCGACCGCTTAACGATTTGCGATGTCCGGAGAAAAAACTCACGGGTGAACAACAGCGAAGTCGCGAAGATATTAGCATGCCATATCGTGCGCACTCGGGAATACACGTATTTACGGCCGTATACCAAAAACACAACAACACGTGACAAACGAATAATACACGGTTTAAATTGTGTTACATTAGTGTGGCGTGAACAAGCTCGGTAGCGACACACGTACGCGTACTGATCATAACGGCAAAACGGTTCGTGAGAGAGCGCGCCGATGGCCTGCCGACAACGTCGGCGCATGCGTAACCAGCACCGGTTTAACTTGGATTTGAAATGACTAGCGCCCTCTAGTTGGAGTTGGTCCGAACATCCTCCCCCGCTTTGAAAGGATGCTTTCAAAGTAGACATTTCTCGGTCAGACCGTATCACTATGCGTTTACATGTTATAACAATATCTATACTAAAATTCATATAAACAAAAAAAATTACAGAAATAGTATTGAACGAACAAAAAAAAATATGTACATTTTGGGAAACAGAAGATGGAACAAGGAAGGAAAGTTGGTTAAGCGTTGTCAGTAGGTAGTTTGACCAACTTTACGACCGGACGTTTGAGTATCCCTTCCGCTGTCTTGATGGTGGCTACACGAACCACTTGGTCAGCACCAGGGTGGACGTCGATGACTCGACCAAGTTGCCACATCAACGGAGGTCGAGAAGGTGAATTTATGACGACGACATCTCCGACACCGAGACTGGGATTTTGATGGAACCATTTTTTTCTACTTTGCAGCGTATGGAGATACTCCCGACTCCATCGTTTCCAGAAGGACTGAAGGGCTTGTCTCACTAATTGCCACCGCTTGAGGCGGTTCTGAGGAATATCGCTGATATCATGTTCGGGAATCGCCAGTATAGGTTGTCCGATCAGAAAATGTCCTGGCGTTAGCACAGATAAATCGTTCGGATCGGTCGACACGGCGACTAATGGCCGAGAATTGAGTACACCTTCAATACGTGTGATTAGCGTCATTAACTCTTCCAAAGTATACACCTGATTACCTACTACCTTCTTTAGATGTAACTTGGTACTCTTGATAGCAGCCTCCCAAATACCGCCAAAGTGCGGAGCTGCAGGTGGGTTGAACCTCCATTGACATGGAACTCGGGCATGAAGTGCTTCCTTCGTTGCTGCATCGTGGAATAATGTCTGAAGTTGTTTCGCTGCGCCAACGTAATTAGTTCCACAGTCGGAATAAATCTGCACCGGAATCCCTCGTCGAGCCACAAATCGATCGAAAGACGCTAAGAATGCCTCTGTCGTCAAGTCTGTAACAACCTCCAGGTGCACAGCCTTGGTAGATAGACATACGAATAACCCAAGATATGCCTTGTGCGTCTTTGAGTTACGACGTTGACTCTCCTTAATGGTGAAAGGACCTCCGTAATCCATTCCCACGTTGGAAAATGGTCGGCATTGTTGGACCCTTGTTGATGGTAAATCCGCCATCACTAGTTGGGGAGCTGCGGCCTTGTATCTAATACACACTGTACACTTGAATATTATTTGACGAATCGCAGCGCGAATCGAGACGATCCAAAAACGGCGCTGAATTAACGAAGCTACTAAACGCGTTCCACCATGTAAAGTATTATGATGGTAATGATGGACAATAAGCTGAGCAAGGTGAGACGATTTCGACAACAAAATAGGATGTTTGGCGTCGGTGCTCAAGTCCGAATGCTGCAAACGACCGCCTACTCTAATAATACCATGAGGTAACCAAGCCGATGATTTGAATTTTTGCTTCTATAATGTCCTCCAACGTGTCAGCGCCAACAAAAATATCATCCACATATGTGTCAGATAACAGGACATCCTTGACGAGCGGAAAATCAGGTCCATCCTCCAGGTTGAGCTGTTGAAGGCATCGAATCGCTAAAAACGGAGCCGAACTCACACCGTATGTGACCGTACATAACTCATATTCCTGCACTTTGTCACTAGGCGAATTGCGCCATAGTATGTGCTGATAAACTCTATCTTGTTCATGTAGACATATTTGCCGATATATTTTAGTTATATCTGCAGTAAAAACAAATTTGTGTAGACGGCTGCGCAACAAGACATCACCGATTTCAGTCTGAAGCTTTGGTCCAGTCACCAAGCAATCATTTAATGAGACTCCGGATGAAGACGTAGCTGAGGCGTCGAACACCACACGAATCTTCAGCTCTTCCTTACAACGTTTAACTACTGGGTGGTGTGGTATGAAATATTTGCCTGGCTCAGTCGCTAACTTCATATGTCCTAACGCTCTATAATCGTCCATAAAGGCCCGGTAGGCAGTATACAATGCTGAATCCTTCTCAAGGCGACGTTCTGAATTATACAATCGGTTAAGAGCTGAAGTTCTGGATGACCCTAAAACGACAGACTTCTTATCTTGACATCCGATGTCGGTTGTATCTGGGGAACATACTATCGTTCGAAATGGTAAACCAACATAAAATCGACCGGTGGCGTCTCGTTTCGTGGTTTTAACAAAGCAATCTTCACATTGCTTGTCTTGTGTAGTTGGCATCGTAGACTCTGTGGGCTCCTCTACTGTCCAAAAACGCTGCATCAACTCTTCAATCGGAGGGGTTGTACTAATTGACAGGGAAGTAAGAGGAGTATGTGTGTTATTCTGTAACGCACCAATTATGACCCAACCTAACTGTGTATTCATCGCTGATGGTAAGCCCTCGGTATGTATAACGTCAGCTCTAGATTGCATGACGGACGGATATAAGTCTCCTCCAATCAACATATCTACTGGCGCCGGGTGATCAAATCGGGGGTCGGCAAGGACAAGATGCCGATAGCGATCTCGTATCTCAGCTGGCAAAACCCTGTTAGGCATTGATGACATAATTCGAGGTAAAACAATGACATTTGTTACTTTAAATTCGGGAACGTCATATTGTACAGAAAAAAAATTAAAATTAGTTTGACCTTTAACAGTATTGACCGGTTGTTGGGAAAGTCCGATGACCTCAACAGGACACTTCCTACGGGTTAAACCTAACCGGTTAACACAATCCACTGTCACTGCAGACACCTGCGACCCACTGTCTAATACTGCCCTGACTTCTTGAAGAACTCCTGTATTGTCCCGAACCCTGACTACAACAGTACCCAACAAAACAGTGGTTTCGGTATGTGTAACTCCCGAAAACTGTGTTGCATTACAACTTGTAGTGGCTCGTTCGGAGTTGTCATTTGTCTTAGTAGTACTCGATTTTGTAGTATCATCTGTCAAATGTAGTAATGTACTGTGCTTACTCGAACACGTACGACACGTAAAAGACGTAGGACACGCATTGCTCGTATGCCCACTGTTCAAACAAATAAAACATAATTGATTTTTATTGACAAAATCGCGACGACTTTTAATTGTTAGTTTTCGGAATCCCAAACATTTGTAAATTGCATGTGGGTGTCCACAAAACAAACACTTTTTTGACTTGGTGGGGCAACCGCGACTAACGATGTCTTCTCGGACCTCTTGCCCTGGATCTTCTTAGTAGTTGTCTTCCCTACGGTCTTTTCATTATTTTTCACACAATTAATGCTCAAACTGCTGCCAACATTTTCCAAAACGTTACATCGTTGTGATGCGAACTCTAATAATGAGTTCAAATCAGGAATTTCATTTTTCGCAACAGTAGCCTCAAATAATCGTCGTGTCATGGGATCAATAACGCGTGAACCAATGTAGAATAGTATAAACCCAGCCAAGTCTCCGACTCCAAGAGCTTGTACAGCTGATACATTTTCCCGAAAGGTGTTGACAAACAATGAAAGTGATGTAGGGGATTCCTTTGTTAACGGCGCGAATGTAAATAATTTTTCAATGTGCGCAGTGACCAATAAGCGTTTATTGTCATATCGACTTTTAAGCGCGTTCCAAGCAATAGAATAATTGTCAGCTGTAAGTGGCACTGCTTTTACTATTGTTAACGCTGGACCTAATAAGTAAAACAATAACTTCGTAATGTTTGTTATCGTGCACCAAAGATGTAAACATATCACGGAAGGAACACCATTCAATAATATTACCATCAAATTTAGGAATCTCGATTCTTGGTAAAATCAGTGATTGCACAGAGGACTGACTCCTATCATTGCACGGAGTGGGCATCGAAGTATTCTGTTTTAATTTTGCTACAATGACATTGATCTGGTCACACATCGATTGCATCGTTTCGGTGACGTTCTCATCCACTTCCACGAATTTATCAACTTCATCGGTCTCCGCGAGTGTTGAAAGAATATGTTTTTGTTCATTATTGAAATCAGTGACAAGTTGACCTAATGACATAACTCGCGCATCTAAGGTGGGACGTTTTTCAGAATTGATTACCGCATCCTTAGCAATACTTAATATTTTATCAATTGATCGTAACGCGACGTCTCTTGCGGCACGCGCGCGCGTTAGCTCGATCTTTTTATGTTTTTATCTTTGTGGATTTGTTGCTGGTTTTTTCTCGTCATCGTATAAATGATGTAGTACCTAAACACCTAACAACGCAAAACCAATAACAAGAAAAGAAACACAAAGATACAAAGATGCTAATAGGATAAAGAAATAATAATAATATATAGCGGCAAATAATGCAATAATTAATACATAAAATACATTAATTGATTGATAGCTATCCGGCCCGAAGGACCAAATGTTTAGCCGTGATAGCCAGTTTAAATAAACATGGTTGTATCCTAACTATTCCACTGGTAATTAATAAATAATTAATAACTAAAGGTAATGTAAAATATGTAAAAATAAAACAAACAATATTTTGCTAGTGGACTGTATAAATGTATTGCATATAAGTAGGAAAATATGATGTACACGAGAGCACCTTAAATGATATGTTAGTCCTACCAAATAATACAAATAATAATTGATCAATATATCATAAACGTGAGTGTGATAATAATAATATTATAAACGTAAGCACACGGTGTTTATATCAACAACCGCTACAATACGATGCAAATGATAACACGATATAAAATGATAATATAAGACAACTGATAATACGGAGTGATACGTCTGATCTGGTCACGATTATAAAGAACAGGTTATCCGTCGGTATAAGATTTGTATGGCACAACCGCGGTCAGAAATTGTTACAGTGATATAGTTCGGCTATTTACCACTAGGTAGGCGCTGCTAGTTAACCGGGCTCTAAACGAATTGTTCATTGTCGTCATAAATATAAATCATCTATTGTGATTTGTGAAGACGAATCGTATAATATATTTAATATTATTAATATTTAATATTATTGTCATAGTGGGGTCATACGTCAATATATTATTATTTTATTATATTATTTATTTCCGAATTATCGAAACATGCCATCTTCTTGCTGGGTTGTGTTTTGTACGTCAGGATATAAATCAAACCCAGAAAAAGTTTCACTATTCACTGTTTCAATTTCCTAAAAATGAAATTTTGAGGGAAAAATGGGAAAAATCTATTCCTCGTACTAATCTTGTTGTCAACTCAAAGACAGTGATTTGTGAAAAACATTTTCACCTGGTTCTGGTGCTTCAAAAGTCACGGTATTACCTAGGTACTGTAACTTATCCTTTGTTCAATGAATCTTTTTTTATAAAAAAATGTCTTAAACGTTTTTATAGATAAATTTAAAACGAGCAAAGCTTGTTCATGATGCTGTTCCAAGTATATTTCCGGGTCCAAAATATTTGTCAAACCCAGTGAAAAAAAGGAAATTACCATCTGATATGTAGAGTTAATTTGATTAAACTAATTTAATCCAATAAACTCTAGTTTTGGCACTACATTAGGGCTCGAATTGGTATATGTAAATATAATATATATAAATGTACCTATTTACTTTGTACTACACAGAATAACGTTATACTTTTAAATACTAAAAAACACAATGATATACATAATACATACACTAATTTCTAACTCCTGGTTCCTAATGTAAGTGACCACATAATAACTGATTATTGAGATATAGTTTTTGTCGTCACCGAATAATCATTATTTATTTGTGAAAATTATGATCTAGCCCCCCCTCCCCACAATTAAGTCTTTAGAACTGGCCCCTATTGTAGTGAATTTAGGTATATTTTTCCATTTAAAAATTATGAAGAACATTTTATTAAATTACTAGGCAATAGGCATTTTTCAAACATTGCAAAACCACTAAAAAAAAAATAAACAAAAATATTAAATAATTTAAAATTTATCAAAATATTTTTAAAACACCATCGCACATCTCTTAAAAATTATATTATAATTAATAATAATAATTCAATCAGGTTGATGAAAAATAATTTAATATTATCAAAGTTTGTATACATTGTTAGTAGGGCCGAAATAAAAAAAGAGAGGTCTAAAAATACAGTAGGCTACACCCAAAATGCAGGTCTATAAATTGCCTATGAATAAACTGCTAATATTAAAACAAAAGGTTTGTCAATTAATTAATTAAAAAATTAGTTTTAACATGGTTTGTATAGGAAAATGTTAATATGTAACACGGATGACTTGCAGCGCTCGGCGGTTTTAAGAACTACACCGCCGTAACAAAATCTGACCGAAAATATTCCTTCCGACGCATAACCTGTTCTTTATAATCGTGGATCTGGTCGATGATCGGCTTCCCCATACGACGTGTCGACGAATACGATGTCCTCCAATCAGGTATACACACGGCGGTTTATGATTCACGCCATAAGGAACCAAAACACTATGATAGTTGACCAAGCGTATGTCACGTAATGCGCGTATAACAGCTGCCAGCTAGTTAACGTGAATATTCAAACAATGTGCGCAACAGCCAGTAACGGCGACGACACAAACACGTGCGCAACAGCCAGTAACGGCGACAACACAAATACGATCGACCGCTTAACGATTGCGATGTCCGGAGAAAAAACTCACGGGTGAATGATAGCGAAGTCGCGAAGATATTAGCATGCCATATCGTGCGCACTCGGGAATACACGTATTTACGGCCGTATACCAAAAACACAACAACACGTGACAAACGAATAATACACGGTTTAAATTGTGTTACATTAGTGTGGCGTGAACAAGCTCGGTAATAGTGATGGGAAAAAATAACAGGAACAGTGATTTATAACAGTTATTACTCTAGTAACAATAACAAGCTGTTACTTGAGGAAAAAAATAACTGTTACGATTATTTTGATTATTTGAGTTTTTAAATTTGGTCTTACTGACTCCGCGTTATATACTGTTAATACTGTTACTGCTGTTACTGGCTACTGGCTGTTACTGCGGTACCGCCCTTATTGTCTGTTAACCTGTTATCAATATTGTAAACTGTTACACTGTTATTAGTTGTTACTGGTTATTTGGCTATTGATATTTGTGACTGTGATATTTATTATAAAAACAAAAGTTGCTACTTAGTACTTATGTCTTTTTGTTCATTTTTATTTGAAACATTTTAGTTTTTGGTATTTTCTATTTACTGTTTGTTTTTGATACTTGATAGTTGATACTGACATATTTATAACCTACAATCAAGAACAATAAATATAATATGTATATTATAAATTTTAATAGTAAGTAATACAGTTAATTATAAAATAATAAAGAATATCAACCACAAAGGCTCAAAATAATAATAATTAGTAGGCACTAGGCAGCTTCATACCTCTGTTATAGCTTAGAATTATAATTATAAAAGGTGTTCATAAAAATAATATCAATCAAGTACCTATGTAACTAAAAGTTAATTCATACAAATAATGAATAAAAAACTTATATAACTTATAAGCATAATTATTAATTATATCAATAACAAAAAATGTAATAATAAATAATAAACTATTTGTTATAGTATATAAAACCCTTATAAAACTAATGAAAAAAAAAACAGAAAATCGTAATGTTTGCTTATAATATAACTATAATAACCCTTGTAATCCTTTTAAGCGAAAAAATTGTATGTTATTTTTAAAAAAAATATGTTTTAATACCTTCTGTAATATAATAAATTCCATAAAAATAAAATATATAAATGGAGCAATCTTAATATTATCAAGAAATAAAATCATAATAATAAAATTGGAATTTAAATTAATACTGTAATAGTTAATTTGAATTATAGTTGAGGAATAAAAGCATTTTAACTTTATCATTTTTCAGACGACAACGACGGTCATTTAAAATTAATCCAGCCTTCGAAAACACTCTTTCACACGGTACTGATGTACCTAAACAGCATAGTGTTCTTTTTGCTAATATGTGTAGATACGGATAGTTATAACTATTTTCACGCCACCAATTTAACGGATCGTTATTTCTTTGCAGTATAGCAACTTCTAAATAACGTTGGACTTCAATGATTGCACGAGATGTTGATGTTCCAGTAGGTAGTACCTCTGCTGCATTACGATCAATTGTATCCCAAATTGATATACTTTGATGTCCAAAAGTTTGCAAGTCCCGTACCTCTTCAGAACCATTCTCAGGTGGTGGAATTTGTTCATTACGTTCTGCTGTTTGGTTGTTTTCAATTCGAATAATCCCCGTCAATTGTTCAATGATATCATCTTTTGTGGTCTCAAGAATAGATGTACTATGCAAAAAAGGTATATTTTTGAAACGAGGGTCTAAAAATGTGCTTCGGCGTAATGTTCTACTTTTTTCTAAATTTTTCCAGGTGTCTTTTTCAAGCATAGTACACAATAGCTTGTTTACAATATCAAGAACTCTAGTGTTATAATTCATTTTAGACATTTTATGGCATACATCAACTAGACCCTGAGACAAAACAATGACCAGTGAAGCTGTCATAAATTTTTCTCCGCTTACTACTCTGGTAGCTTCTTCAAAAGGCTTAAGTACTTGGCACATTTCTTTTAGAATTACCCATTCTTCACCCTTAAGGTTTTCCGGCGCTTTATCCAGTAAACCTAATGTACCACGAATAGAATCCTCCAATTCAACAAACCTACTTATCATATAAAACGTTGAGTTCCAACGAGTCTGAACATCTTGAATCAATTTTTTTGGTTGACTGATGCCATTATTAATTTGATAAGTATGTAGTTTATTATTTGCCACAGTACTTTTTCTAAAATGTGTAACAATTGCCTTTACTCGATCTAACAAACTATTTTCCAGTGTAAGGGAAGATTGAACGACAAGATTCATAGTATGTGCAAAACATCCCATGGATTTAAGCTGTAATATATTTAATGCGTTTTTTATATTATTGGCATTGTCCGAAACAGCAAGAACAACTTTTTTTTTCAAATTCCATTCATCTAATGTTTGTTTTATTTTTTCACTTAAATTTA